ATCATTGCATTATGTAAATAAATTCTACTTTATGCTGGTTTATTTAAAAAAAAAGGAAGATTGGTGAGTCCAGTCAAACCTTCACATATATAAACATGCATAAAATTTCTTAAGAAATCACTAAAAAAAAGACTGTTTAAGAGGAGTACAGTTGATATCCCACCAAGCATACCATTCATCTTTATAAGACACATAATTTTTATATAATTTTGGCAGGATCATCTATTATTTGGAGCTGAGAATAAGACGACTTTTGGAAAGGAAACCCTCTTCACTCAAAATTGTAATAGAAATGCAGCTTGCATGGCCTTGAGGGACTCTCCAAGCCCTTAGATCAGCTGTTTTGCACAGGCATGAATCACTGGACAGGCTTCACACAACCCAGCTCCCACCTTATCCCCTCTTCTGTGCAGAGACCTCTGGGGAGAGAGTGTGGTCTGTGGAGAACATATACTTTGCATCTTACTCCTCGAAGTCACTCAGCTTCTTCCCACTTCAGTGGGGTTTAGATCAGGCCTGTGCTATTTTACCAAAACTCTAAAATCTTTTTTTTAAAAAAACAAACAAACAAGTGTGTAATATTTGTTTTCAAATATTAATGAATTTCAGTATTCAAATTCATGTATATGTACCTTTTGAAAGGTAATGGTTTCTTTTACTGTGTCATACATACTACTTAAAAGACATAAAAATCTCTGTAGGCACAGAGATTTCTATGGTGTGTGTGTCGGGTGGCTAAGAAACGCCTGGAGTTTTTCACCCCCCTGGTGGCATGTGTTGAAACCAAATTTTCTCGTCCTCATGAGGAACTACGTTTCTCATCCTCATAAGGAACTGAGTAAACTATCAGTCCAGTGAGAGTTCAGTTTGCGTCCAGCTCTGGAGCCCCCAACATAAGAAAGACATGGACCTGTTGGAGCGGGTTCAGAGGAGGGCCACAAAAATGATCAGAGGGCTGGAGCACCTCTCCTATGAAGACAGGCTGAGAAAGTTGGGATTGTTCAGCCTGGAGAAGAGAAGGCCCCAGGGAGACCTTATTGTGGCCTTCCAGTACCTAAAGGGGGCCTACAGGAAAGCTGGGGAGGGACTTTTTACAAGGGCATGTAGTGATAGGATGAGGGGGAATGGCTTCAAACTGGAAGAGGGGAGATTTAGATTAGATATTAGGAAGAAATTTTTCACTTTGAGGGTGGTGAGGCACTGGAACAGGTTGCCCAGAGAAGCTGTGGATGCTCCATCCCTGGAGGTGTTCAAGGCCAGGCTGGATGGGGCTTTGAGCAACCTGGTCTAGTGAGAGGTGTCCTTGCGTATGGCAGGGGGGTTGGAACTCGATGATCTTCAAGGTCCTTCCAACCTAAACCATTCTATGACTCTATGATTCTATGAAACATTGACTAGCATTTTAAAGGCACGTTGTTTTCCCTTGTGAAAACATCACCCCTTATATATGTCTAAACTCGGGATGGTCAATCAAACGTGCAGGCAAGGTAGAAACAGGAAACCAGTATGGGGGAAAACGGAAATATTGCATAGAAAGGACAAAATCACCCATGAACTAAAGGAAAGTAGGCCGCTGGCTACTTGTAGGACAAAAACCTGTGCATACTAGTGGTATCTCAGGTAAAGATGCTGAGGCACCACTGGCCCACAAGCTGTTCAAAGGCAATCCTAAAATATCTACGGTGAGGTGTGGTTCCAAGAAGCACAGAGGTAGATATTCATCTGTCATATTGGCAAAACCAGAAATATTTGGGAGGATAGAATGATATAAAATATTTCGGGAAAGATTAACTCAAAAGGTGTATGGTGTAGTCAATAACGTCTAAGAATGCATGAGAGGAAACACTTGTAGGCAGAGGCAATATCCTTTATTAGACAATTGAGACAGTTGGAAAAAAAGCTGGTAAGCTTTGGGCATACGTGAGAATGACTTGTATACCCAAAAGCTTTCCCATTTTTTTCTGACTATATCAGTGATCTAATAAAATATATTACCTCTCCTTACAAACCTTATCTCACAAATTCAAAAGTTACACAAAAGACCTATTAGGATGATGAGAGGAGCAGAAAGTCTGCTTCATGAGAAAAGATGAAAATGACTTGTTTAGCTTAGGAAAACAAAGATTGAGAAAGGACACGATAGCTGCCTAGAAATAAATATCAAGAGGGTAAATTCCCCAGGAACAGAAGTGCTATTTAACATAAAAGATAATGTTGGCATAAGTATAAACAAGTCCTAAATAAATGTAGAGCTGGAGTTAGAAGAAGATTAGGAAGAGGAGGGAAGTTCTAGACTATCTTTCAAAGAGCGGTGTTAGCAAAAAAACACTTAATTTTCAACTCAGAACTTAATGAATTTATTTAAATAATTATATTAAGTAGTTGCCAGAATAGCAGGGGGTTGGAGTTTATGTATATATACTGCCCTTATGACTTTTTCCAGTGCCCACCATTCTCCTGACGCACTGGCCTATAGCTGATTGTGACCATACTACTCACAGGCAGCATCTTTTCAAGTGCCCGGAGACACTACAACTACTTAATGCTTAAGGAAACTCCAAATACTGAAAGTTTCACAGGCCTGAACACCAGTGACCTCTACCTTGGCCCCTACCAACAGCGCTACCACCACAGCTCTCCGACCTGCTGCTCATGCCATACACAGCACTGTCTGATTCATGCTTAGCACCCAACTATGCCACCTCTCGCTGTGAGCCTTGATGTGGGATAGTTTGGCTCTTCAATTTTGCAAGCAGCAGCAAGGGCTGCACCCAAAACTCACCTGAAAGGATCTCCCAACACAATCTCCTTGTCTTTCCTTGCCTATTTTCCCTCCTGAACCCCTCTTTGAACATCAGACATTATAAATCTTAAGTTCCTTAAAAAAATAGCATTTCCTTACCATGTGCCCGAGACAATGAGACGGGTGATTTGCAGCCTTCCGTGTTTGTGCTTTCATTGGAGGATGCTGAGGATGTCTGCTGCATGCAGGCAGCCATGGTATGAAGTAATTTGAGACATCAAGGGCAGCTGGAGTAGTACCAGAGACCCGGGATGTGCTGGAGAAACCAGCTATACTGCAGATGAGAGTAAGCTAGACTAGTATGGACTCTGAACAGTTTCTGGGTTTTGTCTGAGAAAAGAAAGCATCCTGGAAGCTCTCCATCCCACGTGCAGGGCAGATGATCAAGTGAACAAGATGCAGGAGCAAAACCAGAGTGATTCAAACTGACTTATGAGATGTCTTGTGTTTCAGAACTCCAAAAAAAATCCTAATATATGTATATGAATCAACAACTGCTTGAGTAACGTATATCGAAACATAACTGTGAATGGGAACCATAATGAAATTTGAATGTCTTTCTCTGTGATTTCGGGGGTATTAGGACAAGTGATAGATACCCCATGTTTTTATTAGAGATTTGGGAGTAATATAGATCAAACACTGATAAATTCAGGGTAATAAAAATCAGCAAAGTAGTAGTAATGATAACAAAGTCACGGGGAAAATTTTATGCTGTTCAACACACTGAACCTCCTCAAAACAATTTTGTCTTGTTACATTCACATGCAAAGTTGTAGATCTAGCAGTCAGGTGTTGCAGCTCCACCTGCAGAACAGAAGGCTCTGAAGTGTTAAGCAGTGTAAAGCATTTATTGGTCATAGAAAACTGACAACAAACACGAACTTTTTACGGAAAGATGTAGCAACAATGTGATCTTCAGATGAAGGAAGCAGAAGATTGGTGAGTGCAAAGTTCAGGAGCATTTTAACCTCAGTGTTCAGCATCACTCAGGTTGATTCCGCCTATGGATCCTGTGTCTGTATTTTTAAAAAGAAATGGGGGGAGGGTACAGAAAATAGAAATATCCAAAGGCTAGAAAAAATATTTTATAGTGAGAACCTTAAAATGATTCATCTTATTAGCTTATCAAAACACTAAAGGGTGACTCAAATTTAGTGACCCTGTACCTTCTGAAGAAAAAAAAATACAGGCCTCTAACAATGAAAGGCACAACGAAATGCAGTAACTGCAAATTAAAACAAACTCACATTTTTAACAGTGATGTGACAGTATTTTGGAACTGATGTGTTGCTGCATGACTGGCTGCTCGCCTGTCCACTACGTGGTCGCTGGCTGCAGCCCTGTTTTAGGCTCCACGTCTTTACCTCTGGTAGGACAGAATTCTTCAGCCCTCAGATTGAGCCCCAGGCTATCATTTCATATTTACTGTATTGTCATTCACTTAAGTACACCAAATAAGTCCCCTTTTTGTGACTATGCAATTGGTGATCAGGATGAATGACCAGACAACTTTCTTAAAACCAACTTGTTATTTAATAGCAGGATGAGCATCCAAAGCAAAACCAAAGTACTTGGCGCACAGTCTACATGCAATGGTTCTTATCTAAAGCCTGAACTTCCTATGAAAGTGACCTGTTTTAGATATTTCAGTCACTGCTTCTATAAACAGTAGCTTCCTCGGTTATTTCCTCTGAAGTGATGAGTCCCTTTTTAAACTGTATGGACTCTGAGACTGCTTGTTCCCAGCCTTTTCCTCATTTAGGCACTGTCCGTTACCAGTCTTCAACCATATACAACACAGAGCCTCACATTATTCCCTGCCTGATCCTTTGTTTACTTTCAACCACTAAACAGAATCGATGTATCTTAAGATCAAACAACTTGACAAACTTCACTTTTTTTTTTTTTTTTCCTTTTTGCACAACATGGCACATAAAACCAGGTCGCTTCTTGACAAATACTGCTCTCTTTCAACACAGTATTCACATTTACAGACGATGGATTTCAAAGTCCAATGCACAAGCTTCTAGGTGAAATGGTGAATTTTCCATTTCTGGAGGCAGGTGGATAACTCCAGCAAGTGACAGCTTCATCTTGGGTACCAATATTCTCCCCGTCCCCACTTTCATCATTTTTAGATCGGGCTCAATGTCTTCACCGTGATGAAGCTCTTATAAAGACTGCTGCCTCCACTATGAGTGGGATACGGAACAATAACAAAACTGCTGCAGTTTATCTCCCAGAGGTATAGAAGTAAACCACCGCCACTTACCTAAATAAACTGGGCTGTAAAGTGTGACAGTTCAATAACAGCTTCGTGGGCTGTTCAGTTATTCCTACAGGAAGACAAATTCAGTCCTGGAGAGCAGAGGAGACCGGACAGGTGAGGGCACGACCCCTCATAGGTGTGATGAGTTAAACTGTCCCGGGCAGCTGGAAAGAACCCAGCCCCTTCTCAGCCTCTGGGACTAGCACGTTCACACCTCCCTCCTCCTCCCCCCCCCCCCCAATTTAAATGGTACAGATTTCAAACTCCAAGTCAGTAATCTGATAAAATGCAGTGGAATGAATGGAAGTATTTAAATGTCTAATCAGCCTTATTAAACTGAACGGCACTACTGTATCCTTAATTTACATCTTAAAAGTCATTTGATAAGTTTTTAGAAGCACGTATCAAGGAATGTCCACCCTTGCTGACTCAGAACTTCAGAATACTGTGACACTGCAGATACATGGAAACCAGCTTTGGTAAGGAAACCTCTCTAATATCAGGTACGTGGAGCTCACTGAAACCACAGAAAGACCCTGGCATTACAGAAAAGATATTCTGAACAGCACCTGCAATAGCATGTTGTGTCCATTTGCACTGTTAAACAAATAAGGGAAAGCAGCCTGTTTCTCACTTTCTTTCTCCTTGTTTAAGAGTATTTATGTTTTTATTTTTCTTGTAAAATAATACTTCCAACTTTTAATTTTCCTTTGCCTAGCCATAGACTCATGGACATTACGGAATAGAAGAGTCATCTACTTCACCTCTACAAATAAAGGAAAGTTTCCAATTGTTAATACTTTGCAAAGGCATTATCAGTTGCTCTTAAGATTTGCTCTTTCTTGTGCTTTTTTTTTCCCCTATTTTGCTTATGTACATCGTATGATAAAATAACTGGAAAAGAAACAAGGTGTCTAGAGAAACAAAAAATAGCTATTATTTTAACTGAGTCTAGGAAATTCACTTTGGTGGTGTTGGAATCCGGAAAAGTCACCTGTCAGTCAGCTAACCTCAGCGTGTACCTCCTCGATCCGAGCAGACAGGGCTCCCCCAGTACTACCGTTCCCAAAGACTTCTCCTGCACCTGTCATTATTGAAGAGCTATTGCCCTGAATTCAGCAACCAATACTGTAATTCCCACACACACAACCACAGACAAAGTCTGACAGTCATTAATATACATGAGCTCTAAGATTTATCCTCTGGCTGACCTAAATACATCTCTACCTGTTGCGTATCAGGAATATGACAGTTTCATTCCCTAGAAGAGTTCCGAGGAGTTAAGCAAGTTCAGTCACTCACAACTGCAAATGATTTTCATAACTGTACAATGAAGACAGTCACAGGAGACATCAGTTGTCACCCTCCTACTCCACTGTGGGAATTTAAAGAAGCAGGAAGAATTTCTGGAAGGGGTAACCAAGACACAAAACCAGCAGGAAACCAGAAGCTGAAATGTAATTGGAGCCTGAGTCTTATTTCAGTTTTTACTGTAAGGATTCTTCTTCCTATGTTATTGGGTCCTATTTTCCCCCCTAAACCACTTTACATTCTAGCTGTGCTCACCTTTTCATTCCCCTCCCTTTCATCTTCTGCCCGTGTAACATCTGTGGAGGGGAGAGGAATAAAAAACGCAATTATGGAACTATATAGACTGGTATTTTTAGTATTCCAGGACTAAACTTTTGGCCTGGATAGCTTAAGTAGCAGTTGCATACCGTATCCTTTGAAAACAGCTATTGAAGTAGCACACCATTTAGAAAGTCTGTAATGAAGGATACGAACCCTCAGCTACCAACCACAAGGCTACTGGCTGATGTTACTTCAGCTTCTCATTTCGTAGCTGTTGTAAACAAATCTAATATAGACATGTATCACCACCAGCTCTAGTAACCTTCCTCATATCATCCAACTTACAGAAAGCTATAGAATCTGATTTTCTTTTAGAAAGCCTCTGTAATGGTTTGTGGACATAAACTAAAAATAAACGGTACTTAGAAGTGTGAGATTCAGTACTCCTGCCAAGCAGATGGAGAAATTGAGACAAAGGCAAAATTACTTTTTCAAGATTATACAGCAAGTCAATAGCAGAGTACAATTACAATTCAGAGGCTTCTAGTTTCTAATCCTATAATCCTCTTTCCAAAATCTATTAGCACAACCAAATATGCTGTTTCAGCGATGGCCGTGAATGCTCCATTCTTTTGAACGCTCCACCCCAGGTATGACAAACTGACTGTTCAGATGACGACACATGAATAATTTACAACCATGTTAAACATCTGAATTCAAATTACTTCACATCTCAAGTTTGCGACTAGCAGCACTAAACTCAATGGCTTTAATTGTGAACCAATCTTTCCTAATTATGAGTTGTTGAAATAGGCTGCTGAGTCAGCATTCTATAAAAAACTTAAGTCTCAGCCTAAAGGGGGAGATGAAAATATAGTAATTTGTGCCCCCCCTTTGCTGTACAGTAATCCTAGCCCCAAATCCCACTCTGTTGCTGAGTGTAGACTGTATTTGACACACACCAGCCTGGCATGGGTAAATCTGTCCTCAAGTCCCTCACACTACTGCATTCAAGAAGTCTGGCCAGGGATCGACTGCTGTTCCTTGCCCTGGCAACTCGTACCTGCAGGTCTCTCTCTCTCTTCACCATCTGACATTGCTCTTGGCAAGCAAGAACAGGTCTGAACACCTCTCTAGTGACCCAACAACACAATTTGCCTGGTACCAGAGAGCTGCCCTTGTCTCTGACAGGGCCAAGGGGCTGAAGGAGCTATTTGGGAGGCAATAAGATTAGCTGCCGATTATCTTTCCTGAAAAACAAAACCCAACCCAGCACACCCTCACTTCATCCAACAGCCAACTCATTCAATCCACAGCTGAGTCCTTGCAGTCAGCATCCTCCGGGAAAGCAGGTGGGCCTGGAAATCACTGGGTTTTCTGGACATACTTTTACCTGTTTACATACACTGTTTACCTTAAAGGTATACTAATAGCTACACTCAAGAGGTATCACAGGGGTTCACAGCATGCAGGCCTTTCCTTCTGCCAGAAAACAACACACAGCGCACACCCAGACACATGTACCATTAACTCTAATCTGAGAATTAGAGCTTTTAAAATCTCTGATTGCTTAGACTGCTTAACTGGTGCAGCCTGTTAAAGATGTAAAACTCTTCCAAGAAATTTCTCTGCTTACTTTTTATTTACAAGCACAAGCCACAGGTATTTAGAAAGTAGAAGTTCTTATTTGTGAGTGCCTAAATTTCAACCAACTTTTCAAGTACAGCAAGTTTTCCACTACTTCAAGGTTCTTTGGTTACGAGGAGGCTTTTACATTTCAAATCACTGTGTGTCTCTTTAGTCAGACGAAGCTAGCCATTTCTCTCCCCCTTCATTGCCATGAACTTGTTTGATGTCCCCCTAAGGTGGACATGCATGTTAACTAACCTGCTCCTGTCTCCAAATCCACATTTCTGGCAATGAGATAGATGAGTGAAAAGAAACTGCCCAACGCACCGGAACCAGTCAATAACTATTGCCTCGGGGTTGCTTCGCCACAGCTTTCCAGGCTTGGCTTCTCATTGTCCATTAAGCACATAGGAAAAACCCGCATAATTATAAAAGTTACTGCAATTTTAAAGTTGAGAGATTATAACTGGGCAGAAAAGTTCTTCAAGTCATCAAACTATCTAATAGTACAGCAACCTCAAACACAGCGCTCAACCAATTTCACCTCTTTTAAGTTGGGGACACTCTCACCGTACTCTGGCAAACCTGTAGCAGTAACTTGTAGTTGCCTAGAAGCTTACTTTGGTCCTTCTGTTGAGAACTTACGGTTCACAGGAAGATCCAACACTCCCACCTCAAGCATAGCCATATTCAGAAGCATGAGGAACACCTTTGGGGATCGTGGCAATTTTGTCTGTCTTATTGTAAACCATGGGTACCAGTCCACTAGAGTTTGCATTCAACAGATGGCTGCCTACGTGACCTCTGATGCATTACTGTTCCCTGTCATTCTCCCCATACCTCTATTAGGAGAGAGTTGTTTCAAGGGACACAGGAAAAGTCGTATAAAAAGAAAAAAAGGATAATTCTAAAGCACCCCTTATATGTGAGTGAGCCTAAAGCTTTGCAGAAACTTCAATCTGAAATTACTATTTTTATGTAAACACCTACACAAAACAGTTTTGTAAACTCCACCCAAAAGGCAACGATTCTCCGGTGTTGCCTTTTCATTTGGGTTGTTTGGGAAACCATAGAATAGTAGGTACACCAGAAACATCAGAGAGGACTTCTCCAAAGGAAGAGGAGGCTAAGAATACTTCTGAATACACTGTGAATGGTCAATACATCATTAAATGACAGCATAACTTAAGAAACTGTTTATCACTTTATATTAATTAAAATACTGCCATCTCCCCTCAAAACTCAGAGTGATAAGCAGCAAGGGTTATTTATACTGGCACTATTGAAGCTACATGGGATTATGTCTGCTGCAACTCAATAGTTAAAAGAAATTTTTACCTTACCTATGAACCAAGCGAAAAGCCAGAACATCATCTTTCCATGTAACATATTTAATATTATTTTCCCCTTAAAAGCCCACCTGAGTTTGAAACTACTGTTATCATAGCTTTCAACATCTACTTTTTTTTTTAAGAAAAATTTATTCTATGTTGTAATAATGCACAATCAGCAGGGTTTTTTTCTTTCATTTTGCTTTAATTAAAAACAGAAATGCACTTCAGAGTCCGATGATTCAGCTTTGCCCTTGCTAACTCAACAGTGGGGTGACTTTAAGTAAGGCTTCCCGGCTAAGATGGCAAAAGGCCCCGAACGTCACGGCTTCCCACTTCAGTTCTCAGCATCCATCGCCTGAAGTTACAGCAAGGGCGGTCAAGACCTCAACTTACTCTACCTTAGCGTTAGGATGAAACTTTTGTCACCTACACCATTTTGCGATTTGTGTCCCCCAGCAGTCACCTCTCGGAGGTCGGGGGGGCAGCCAGGGAAGAGGGAGCGAGCGGGCCCAGCCGCAGGGACGCAGCAAGGAAGGACCCCCGGAGGCCCGACCGCCGCCTTCGTCCTCTCCCCTCGGTGGCCCCGCTCCCGGCCCCCCGC